AGAGTCCACTCATCTGATACATTGTTGATTCAGGAATATTAATTAAAGCTGTTTCAAACATGCACAAAAAAGAGACACTGTTTTCAATTAATTATTTTGGCTTTGAGACTATATTCTCCACCCTCAGGCATGTGAAGTGAAAATATATGATGTATGCTTTTATATACAGTATAAGCCACAAAGTACCATATACTACTTTTTTCTTTCTTTCTTTTTTTCAAAAATCTACTTATATCACTGCATGATCACACTGCAATCAACTTCCCAAAGAAATTAAAGTGGTGAAAGAGAAAAAAATAATAAAAAGCTAGTCATAGCTATAATGGTGTTGTCAAAAAAACGTTGTGACCAAACAGAGGAAAGTGAGTTCAGAGAACATAAACATTTCCTGTTTTAAACAATTATTAATGTAAAGTGACTGAAAAGAGGAAAAATCTAAAGCTAATCAATGACTGCTGTGACTAGATTTTACTTTCAACCCAGCATCAGTTCTTTTCATGTATATTTATAGACAAATCTTGGAAAGAGCTTAGCAGGTGTTGCTCCAAACATCTTGGAGGAATGACCACAGATCKTCTGTGGTTGTTTCTGCCTCAGATCCTTCAGCCTTCTCATGTAATTTCAAACACACTCCATGAAGCAGAGATCAGAGTTCGGTGTGGTCTSTGCCATCACCTTCAGAACCCTGTGCTGTTATTCATGCTGAAGACAGATGTTAATGAGAATGTCTGCATGTGTTGGATCATTGTCCAGCTACAGAATAAACACGGAGCCAATCAAACACCTACCCAATGGTACAGAAAGAGCTGTCTGCACTGCATAGCATCTGTTTGTATTTCTTAACATTGTGGGCACCATCAATACTAAATAAAACCCTCAACTGTTTTTATTCTTTTGTTTTGTTTCAAAACATAGCCATGAACTTGCATGAAACCATGCTTCACCATTGCCTGCAGACACTCATTATTGCACCGCTGTTCAGTTGTTCAATGAGCAAACTGGCCTTTGTTATACCCAAATGTTTCAAGTTCTGACTCATCAGTTCAGAGCACCTGCTACCATTTCCCTGCACCCATATGTGATCATGCACAGCTTGGTTGCTTGGGCTTGTTTTCAAAATGTAGGACATTTTTAGCAATTCTTCCATGACGACCACTGACTTTTCTAGACTTTTAATGAATGTACCTGCATCCCACATATTTCTACTAGTTCTGAGATGATGGAGCTACTGGAAATCTTTTGATTTTAAAAAGAAGTAAGAAGAATGTGTCTTTTATTTGAGCTTACCCTGGCCAACCATTGGTTCCCAAAATTAGTGATTTCCATAATACTTCTTCTAAAAGACATGATTGTAAAGCCCCTGCTTTTATTTTTATTTTTCCTGTGAGAGACCTATAATCCATATCCTTTGTGTTTTGCTGCTTAATTAATTCAAGATTGTRAGACCTGTATCATAAGACTTGTCCACAGCCTCACCTTGGTAGCAGTCTATTCCTCACTCAGTTTTACCCAGCTGTTTCTGTTTGACTTAATGACTGTTTCAGCATGAGCAACTTATGATCATCAGCATCTGTTTGGAGGAACTGATTGAACATATACCTGAAAATAGTCTGCCTAAATTCTGCACCTTGTGCAAATTTGCCCAAAATAATTGATGCTGTTTTAACAGAAACTGCGGTCACATCAAAAAYTGATTTATTTCCCCTCCATCTTTGTCTACACAGGTCTGTATTTTATATTAAAAAAAAAAAACAAACTACCAGACTGAATGAGATCATATTTTCTATTCCTGGAAAAGAACCCATTAAAGCTACAGTTAAATAAACAAAGTCAAAGGTTGTTTTGTATAATTCTCAACCAGTGCAGACCACTGCAAATCAAGACATCATGCTCCCTTCTGTAACAAGACGCAACAAAAATTCCAATAGGTGCATAACTAGCGCTGTCACCAAGCCAGCAAGACCAAGGCAGTGTCAGGCAAGATAAATGACTGTAGTTACTGCTGTGTTGGGAGTGTTATCATATTTGAGGACTAATGACTGAGCTTCCTGGCAGTACATAATGGGTCAGGGAAACAGAGGCTCAATTTGGTGTCAGCTTTCAATTCGATGATCCCTACCTGGCAATGGCCAAGTGGAAGGTAAAGATGCTTCATTTGCATGAAGGTGTGGGTCTTTTTTCTCTTTTTTATACACCTGCCTACAAACGTGCAGTTGAGTRGGAAAGTCTCAAGACTGCGTGTTTAAGGGCATGCATAAAAATAATTCAACACAGTTTTCTTCATGATCATTTCACAGCTGATTAGTCAAATAAAAAAACGTACTTCAATTCCAGCATCTTTACAACATTAAAGGCATGTCATATTTTATTTTATTTWWTTTTWTTTATTTTGTAGCATTYTGTCTTCAGATTCAGTTTTACAGTTAGAGCCTTTTGGATGTAAGTGATATTTTTTCTTTTTTGTTATTACTTTTTTGCTTCTTAATTTTATCAATTCAACTTAAAACATGAGTAAAGAGTAACTCTTCAAATTAGTCTTTTTTGTTGTTGTTAGGTAATTAATAAGGGGTCACTACTGTGATTTCTGAACCCATTTTTATTCTGCCAGTAGCTTAACTAAGATGTCTCCACACAGGTCTAATCCTTTACAAAATCAAGTAAAAAAGTATAATACAAACAGTTAAACATTGTGGGTGAAAACAGGTGTTTTTTCACACTACAGAATTACGAAAAAAGTAGCTTTTCTGTCAAGTCTACTGTGAAATGAGTCAAAACAAAGTTTATTTTTCACCTGATAACCATTTTACTTTGAATATTGTTTTTTAGGGAGCATAATTAATCACTTGCTATCATCTTTACCAGCCCTTCGAATAGAAACCTTGGTCTGTTTTGTGAACAACAYGTTGTACAAGATTTGTTTGACCTCACAGACGTGCATAGCTGTCAGCCACAGCGCAGAGGTCAGACAGACTTTGACAGAGGTCAACTGCATCAGCTGCCTTTCCAAAATATTGTGAACTTGTTGGTATTTGAGAGTTTTTTTTTTTTGTCATGTGTCATTATGTGACCCCAGTTGTTTGTTCCTAATAACAACAGATCTTTTTTTTCTACCTCTTGAGAGACAGCTTTGTGGTGACTTCAGCTGCAGCAAGAGCACAATAAAATGGTGGAAAGTTGCAAAGTTGTGCCGTTACTGTTATTTTTGTTCATTGCAAAGTTTGACAATACCTTTTTTAATAAAAAAATAATGATTTAAAGGGTAACAAAAAGTCAGTATGTAGGGGGAAAATACACAAACGTATCAAGTTTATCTTGTTTTCAGGATATTAAGCCAACTCCACTGTAAGTTCTGCTAAAAAAAATTTGAAAAAGGGCCTCTGCTGCTGCATGTTCTCTTTTCAGTCCCTGGAAGCATGATCAACACTGGGTCATCTAAAGCCATGACACAAATATAGCTTTAAGCTACTGCTGGCATTTTCATTTTGGAAATGTGATTTAGACTGCTTTCCTTTGGGGAATGATTACATGTTGCCAGCTTTTCACCATTGAAAAGGCCACCAGATTGAATGAAGCATGCCGGATAAGGCAGCTTTTCTTCTGCAATTTCCACTGCCAGTGCAATTTTCTGCTCTGCACATGTGAAGAGGGGAGTCCAARAGTGAATTGACTCGCTGTTAATAATGCTATAATTTCAAACGGGGCTTGATGATTTCACTTGGGGTGTGCGGGAGGATTTGGATATATGTGCAAAACTGCGAATGTGACCTGTCTCACTTGTTATCAGAGCTCTAAAGTTACAATTCGGGATGCATTTATTAGTGCTGCACACATCACTATTGTTTTTTTTTTTTTTTTTCTCTGAATGACAAACAGAAATTTGCAGTGGCAGTCACAGACTTGGAGATAAAGCTTTCCGGACCGATTTCAAACAAAAGCTGCTTTCTAATTTTCAGTCTTGGTATCAGTATCACACACAAGTTATCTCTCTTGTACAGCCACATAATGACACCTGGTGTAGAAGAGCAGGAGCTCCCCCCACAGGTCGCCAGTGGAACCGCAAACATACACACACAAGCAAGTTGATGGAAAGGCAACTTTGCCTCACTGGTGACAAACACACACACACACACAACAACAACAACAACGAATGCGTGTACGGGCTTGCTTCAGTGGACGCGCACTATCATTAGGGGGTGGGGGTGCACGCGCGCATAAACACAGATCCAACTCATTAAACGCAGTAAAAAATGTCCAGGGTGGAATGAAAACATTAATATATATCACTAGTGTTAATT